TTAATTTCACTAATGCTCTAAAATACAATACATTACCTGTATGATTCGCACCACTACTTTATTAATTACAGTGTGGCCCTATTATAATGCGATTATTGAGGTCCATAAAATGTCATTGCGAAAAAAAGCGGGGTCGCACTAAATCGGGGTTCAAGAAATTCAGCGTGAAGAAACAATGCATACAGTCATGTACACAACATGCACACACCAACAAGTCATGTAAATGCATTTAGTTGTGCGATCTATAAGCGATCATCGCTTCGACCTAAGGCTGACTTAACTCACCAAAAGACTTTTCAGTTCCGGAAAGAGCAAAAAAACGAATTCGCGTTAAATCGGAGCGCGTAAAACCAGGGTTTCGCCGTATAGTATTTTAGAGCATTAGTGACAACCCACCTGTAGGACTTGAAGTGCAGCAGCGCGCTGCTGTACGGCTGCAGCCTCCCCATCGTCTCGCTCTCCACGGGCTTCCTCCTACACCACACGTCATCGACGCTCACGCCAGGGTCGACGCTCTCCGCCGCCGCCGGCACCAGCGCCCCCTGGAGGCTGTAGTCGGCAGCCGACGGTGCCCCCTCCAGCGGAGACCTCTCGTAAGACTCCATCTGTCAACACGCGATCGGAGGTTTTACGCGTTACGATGGCATCCGTAAACCACCCTCGACACGACTAAATGCCTATAGCATATTTAACGATTTAATTATCTCAGTAAATAACAATGTAATATAAATATTTCATAAATTTAGCATATATCATAATTTTCATTATCATGCACATCATGCATATTTCTTTAACCTAGCATGAGAGTGAGAGCTCCTCCCCTCGTACCAGTAGTTGGGTGACACGAGCCAGCGCCTCTCCCACAGGCATCGTCACAGTGGCGCCCTCTGTCACGCCAGAGCCTCCCTCGAAACTCCTGGCCTCCTCTCTGCCTTCCTTCCCGGCTTTCCTGGTGGTTTCCTCCCCAGTTGCACCACAAGCTTCCTTCCCAGCTTTCCTCTCGGGTTCCTTCCCAGTTTCTTTTGCAGCTTCCTTCCCAGTTTCTTTCGCAGCTTTCTTTGTGGCTTCCTTCCCGCCTTCCCCCGCGCTCTCCCCGTTCTCAGACAGACACGGCCTCGTGCTAGCGTTCAGCTCCAGCAGCGACTTCCTCCGTGCGACCTTCGACCTCTGCACGACCTTCGTCGGAGACGGGAGACCAGACGGCGTCGCAGCGGCGACGGGACTCGCGGCGGTGGCCATGCCCTGCTGCAGACGGGCGATCTTCTGCAGGTATTCCTTCTGCAGCCGCAGCAGACGTACCTTCTCGGCCGTGGGGGCGCTACTGCTGCTGCCGCCGCTGAGACTCCCTGGCAAACTCTTACCTACGTAACGTGAATGGCGCGGCATTACGAGGGAGTTTCACACGTGACGATGTCAGCGTCGACGCTAAATGCTGTACAGCTACGTGCCATCCAACGACACGAGTCATTAACATCGATGACGGGGTTTTTATTATAAAATGTCACATTAATAACGATGACTGGTTATTTAGAACATGTCACACTAATACTTAATTACACATGTTAATGTTTAACAACAGAAAATTAGACATTTAGATTTAATAACGATGGGTTGACAATGGTCCAGTATGAATTTGAAACGTCCAGTAAATTTCTTAGCCGGATATATGTAGTAGGATATAATACCATACACTGGTAATACTATTATTTTTTGTTATTATCTTTACTATTAATGAATTTTACTATAGAATCTATTAATAGTTCTATTCTTACTTTATTATGATATTATAGTTCATGGTATTAGTTTCAAAACACATTGAACAATTCAACACCAGCCAACAAATGGAGAATCCGTTAGCCAACCACCTATCACTTGTTATTGGCAATTATTGAAAATGAGAAGAACTAGGTGTTTTGACAGCCCATCACATTACTAGCCGTACGCTACAGATGCTAACTCTGCACAGCTGCACACGTTACCTGGGTAACTGCTGCTGCTGCTGCTGCTGCTGGTGGTGGTGGTGGTTGTGCTGCTGCTGCTGCTGCTGCTGCTGCTGGTGGTGGTGGTGGTGTGTTGCACAGTGGCAGAAGGGTGGCACGTTAACCCGCTGGTTGGCGTGGAGGTTCTCAGTTGTGCCGCCGTCGTCACGGCAACGGGAGTCAGCGGCCTGCTATCGCTCTTCTCCACGAGATGCGGTGACGATGAGTTGCTGAGTGCTGGCTTTGCAACTCTCATCTAGAAGCATAACAATCTACGTTACTTATGTGTATATATATACATAATACTATGTACTACCTTATAGCAGATATATTAAATTCATTTACTAATAATAATACTAATTAAGTACTATGAATTTATAATACTACTCTTCACAATACTTCTTGCATAATAAAGCTAGACAGAAAATTACACAATATTATAAAGCTGACAGAAATTTTCATGGAAAATTAACGATTTCCCAAATATCTCAAAAATATCCGACGATATATTCATTTTCTCACTTTAACTCGTTTCAGTATAGGGCAGGTCAGTTTACCTAAAACATATATTTTACCTGAAGAGTGGGCAGGGTCACCTTACCTGTGGCGATCCATTCCGACCTCTCTCTGTTATATTTCGGCTGCCGCCCGACTTCTGCAGTAATCTCACCACGCCACCACCCCCGCCGCTGCTTCCGCTGCCTCCGTTTAGTGACTGTGTGTGCAGGAGCTCATTCTCTACCTGAGCACCTCTATCCAGCCTCTTCTGCACTTCCTGTGCCTATAACACAACAGTTGAGAATTTGATCACTGAGCGACCAATTATATATGTATATGAGAGAGACAGAGACAGATTGATAGAAAGAGAGAGAGATAGAGATTGATAGAAAGAGAGAGAGAGAGAGAGAGAGAGAGAGAGAGAGAGAGCGAGAGATAGAGAGAGAGCAAGAGAGAGAGGGCAAGAAAGAGCAAGCAAAAGAGAGTGCAAGAGTCAGAGCAAAAAAAAAGAGGGAGTGCGAGAGAGAGAGAGAGAGAGAGAGAGAGACAGAGGAGAGAGAGAGAGAGAGAGAGAGAGAGAGAGAGAGAGAGAGAGAGAGAGAGAGAGAGAGAGAGAGAGAGAGAGAGAGAGAGAGAGACAGAGCGAGAGAGCTAGCTGTCAATCGCAGCACTATATGGCACGTCAGCTCACCTGTGTGTTGAGGCGGACGATGAGCTGCTTGTTGCGGCGCGCGATCTTCTCAGCAACGTCTAGCTGCTGCGTCAGCTTCTTCACCTTCTGCTCGGCTATGCGCACGATGCTCTTCTTCTTAATCAGCTCCAGACGCATTCTCTCTGCCTCCTGCCGCTCACGCACCATCGAATCCCTGCACACGTCCGGTGGGAGGAAGCAAACACGTTATGCAGCGGATGGTCCAACACCATCGAATCACACGTTATGCAGCTGATGCTGCTGTTTCACTCTATACGGCCACTCTACTGTGTTGTTGTATTTTCACGGAAATTTATTTGTACTCATATTCTATATTAGCAGAAGTAAACACGAGTAAATAATTCTATTTATTATTTAGTTCTCGCTTATATTGTATATTTATTACATCATTTTTTATATATTATTATCATATACACACATATTTATATATATATGTATGTGTATATGTATCATATATTATAGCTATGAGTATTTATCATGACTATTTACATTGTATGTACATTATTAATTTGCATTTGCACGGAAATTGGATTATTTACGAGTATTTATTACAAGGATTTTTTCGTTCTATCAGTTGTGAATTGTGGTAAAAGCTGCTAGAAAATAAATGCATAACACAAGGAAGCAGCGCGGTGTAGAACCACCGCCACCCTCCCCCTCACCTCCGACCCCTCAGCCCCCGACCACGCCACACACCTGTGTTCCTGCAACCTCCGTCCTGCAGCCTCTCGCTCTCTGCTCTTCCTCTCCTCCTCGTCGGCATCCTCCACGGCTCTGGGCTTCCCCGACAACGATCGCGCAGCATCGCCGAGGCCAACTTCAGCCGCGGAGGAGGAGGAGGAGGACTTCGTGGCTTTGGGCTTCAGCTGCGGAGTGGATGCTGCGGTGGAGGGTTTCCCGTCTGAACCGTCTGCAGAAATCCGTGAAATGCGCGACAAGTGAATGACATTTACGAGACCGCAGCAAGGAGCTGTGCAAGCAGCCGCACCACTTACATTAAATAAAACGATCGAATATGAACCTAGAATATATATATATATATAAAGATACGTGCAAATCATCACATAGTCATCAATGAAACCCTCATCCCAACGTCCCCCCGCCTGCTGTGCCCCTCTTCGTTCCTCGGCCCCCGAGTCGCAAAACATCTCCCCCGCCCCCACTGCCCTCGCACCTTTCCGCCGGTCCATCTGCTTCTTGATGAGCTGCCAGCGCAGCCTCCGGTACTCCTTGATGCGTTCGGGAGGAAGCTGCGACACGGCGTCTGGCGTCGGATGCACGAGGTCCCGCGGCGACGCGCCCGCATCCCGCGACTTCTCCCTCGCTTGCTGCTGCTGCTGCTGCGGCGTCGGCGGGGTGGCGGCGCCCTCTATGCGTGCGGGGGGAGCCGCGTGCATCACCTGGGGGAAGGTCACCTTCAGGGTCAATGCGCACGACGCGAGGACAGAGGAAACGGGCGAGGATGAGGTGACGGGCGGGGGGTCTAGTCGTATCTGTTAATTATAATTATGCGAACAAAGGATTACGCTGACACCAACGTAACAGAGCAAACCGCAAGAGCACATTTATAAACTGTCCTTTTTAACCCTAACATTGCTGCGCATGGGTGTGCGCTTGAGGTGAGTTCACTGATGTTCTTCTTACTAACCCTAACATCGCCTCGCGAGCGTGTGCGCTTGGAGGCAAGTTCACTCACGCTCTTCCGCGCTCGCTTCAGGAAGACGTCAAGGCTGCTGAGGAACGCTGAGTGATTGACGCGGACCGACGTGCGCACCGCGTCTCCATCCTCGCTGTCCGAACTGCTGTCACCTAGCTGTATGACCACCGGCATGTGCTTGGGTACCTATAACAATACGTCATCACCACTACCTATCGTTATCGCTATAGTGTAATAATTACAGTATGTGAGAACTGCTGTCACCTAGCTGTATGACCACCGGCATGTGCTTGGGTACCTATAGCAATACGTCATCACCATCTATCGTTATAGCTATAGTGTAATAATTATTACACTATAGCGATAACGATAGGTAGTGATGATGACGTATTGCTATAGGTACCCAAGCACATGCCGGTGGTCATACAGCTAGGTGACAGCAGTTCTCACATACTGTAATTACAGTATGTGAGAGCTGCTGTCACCTAGCTGTATGACCACCGGCATGTGCTTGGGTACCTAACATGGTATAACAATTATTGCATCTTATCTAATGCTATTAGTATATCTAAGTTATTTTTTTGCGCGCTACACGAAAATATGTTCGCATTAATATATATATATATATATATATCTCAAAACACAGAGAAACCTAGAGGAAAAAATCATGTCGCGATGCACTTTTAAATTACGGGGCTATTATATGACACGTTTGGGAACCTTCTAATACGCTGTCAATATGCAGACCGAGTAACTCATATATTCGTCTGAGCAACCACATCCCCCCTGTATACTGTCGCCAGGTCAGTAAAGCTACTGCAGGGCGCTTTTTAAGTGAGCACGTTGCTCTCATTTCATGAAATAGCAATAAAAAAAACAAGCATTTCTGTATCCTACCTTATGCATCTTCGCTTTCAACTTCCTTTTCATCTGTTGTTTTTGGTTTTGAGGTTTCAGCATGCCCGCTGGCCGATCCTGTGACCTCGTGAGCTTAACTTCCACCACCTCTTCCTGCACGCGTGGATACAAATGACATGCATCTACAATCTTCGCATTATTCATTAAGTTAGAGACATTTTTCGTCCTAATAGTAATATTTTTTCTATGATATTAAATATCCAAATCGGAAGCGGATGACAAGATTCATCGACGCTTCCAGCTCTCTCTCATGCACGTGCGCCTCACCTTGCCTCGCTTCTTGACGGCGAGCGATTGTAGCAGCATGGCTCTCATCGCCTCGTCATCCTCATCCTCCCCGTCCGTGATGACCACCGGCTTGGCTTCACTCCCGCAGCTTCCCTCCTCCGCACTCCTCGTCTGTGTCATCGTCGCGGCCGCAGCATCCGGCGTCGCGGGGCGGGGCGGCGCGAGCGTGTTCTCGGGGTGCGCGGACGCCGAAGCATCGCGGATCAGCTCTGTAAGATTACATCAATATTATTCATCGTACCACAGCATCCATCTACTGCCCCACCACCAGGTTTTATTTTCTTTGTTGTTGTTTTTTAGTCAGGAACCTCATTCCGGTTCCTTTGTAGCCACTAATGGATGACAAAAGATAGTTCAGGAACACTCAGGAGGCTCACTGGAGACGGGTAATCATACAAAGGACTGCGCGGTCAGAACCAACTGGCTTAGGTGAGAATTTTTACTAATGATGATTAAGTTTTTATGAAGGTTTTTGACTTGAAATCTGGGAAATACAAGATTTCGACAGTCGACAACGAACGCACGCCCCCAAAGAAAAACAATGTGCTGCGAATTCGAGTGGAATCGTTTTCTTTCTTTTAAAATCGTTATTCGAATCGGTTTTCATTTCTGTTCCCTTCTTTTAAAATCGTCGCACGAAATCGTCTCCACTTCAGTTCTGAAAGTGGTTTGGCACTTGCACGCTAAACCCCATCACCGCACGCAGCAGCCACTCACCCGTCAGCTGGCAAGCGTCCGGCGCCGTAACCGCGGCGACGGGCTGCGGAGGCAGCTCGCCCGCCGTGGCGTCGTCGCGCTGATGTCCGATCAGCATGTCGCGGAAGTCGACGTCGTTCGCTGCCGGGTCCCGCGTCAGGCGCCGGTAGTCGCTCGGTGGCGCCCCCTCGGCGGTCGGCTGTCGCGCGAGCACCTGTAACTGGTGTAGGAGGGACTGTGCGCTGAGCGAGGCGTCGGCGCAGGCCATCCACGGAGTCATGATGGGACCCTGATCCTGCGACAGATCACATAGATCATCATATCGCGAGAGTTCAATACAAACGAATTTGTTTCTATTCACTCCCGCGTTTATATAGAGTCACCTCTACCTATACCGACCACCCTCGGTACCATCGACGTAGTTCTGTTTTCTGTGAAGTTCGGTGTATAGGAGGTATAAGGCGCGCTCACACGGACGTTTTTGGCCCAAGCCTAATTAGGCCCGCTCCAGATTTGGCTCGAGCCGAGCGTTCACACAGACGTTTTTGGCCCGAGCCTAATTAGGCCCGCTCCAGATTTGGCTCGAGCCGAGCGTTCACACAGACGTTTTTGGCCCGAGCCTAATTAGGCCCGTGCCAGATTTGCTCCCATCGAAAACGTCGGACCAGGCCCAAGCCAAATTTTAGCACCAGCTTTCGGCGAGCGGTAGAGCGGTAGAATCGGTTGAGCGGTAGATGCCGTGCGTGTCGAACGTGTACTTCGACGAAATAGTCCAAAACAGTATAAAAATTCGAAAAATTTGATCAGGATGCACGTTTTCAAGATTGATAATTGAACTCGGAACGAAAGTAAACACTCTGAATCGTACACAACGCCATCTCGCGACATACTGCCAAAGTATTGATCATATATACATGATCTGTGAGATATTTGTGCAATAAAATTTATTTGAATCTGAATTTGAATTTGAA